CCCCCCCCCCCCCCACAAAACCCAATCCTTATTATTAAGGCCCCTACAGTACGGACCATGAACCTTCAAGTAAGGCACCGGCCATGATCACGACGGAGAATGCTCCCGTCTGCCCGCCGGCTTGGGGCTCAGGTTGAGGTTCCGCAAGTGCTGGGGAGTATGGGGGGTTTCCGGAAATAGGGGACCCTACTATAGCACCCTAAAGAATAGGATCCTTATTATAAGGACGCAAAATAAGGTATCCTTCGGAAACTCCCATATTGCAGAGTGGCTGAAGTCGAGAACTGCGGTATCGGATTCAGATTCTGCGTCAGGTGAGCATGTTTAAGTGAATCTGCCGCGGCTTCCTCCGTGTATCGATATATACCGCTAGGCTTACCCCCTACTGTACACTCGAAGCAAAACAATGAAACCCCATGCCAGCACTGCCGGCACCAAGCATTGCACCATCCACTCAACAAGCTCGTGCTCTTCCACGAAAGCTAAACACTCAAACCTTGGGCAGCTTCGAAGATTCGAACCTGGAAGTAGTGCCCAACAGAAGTGCCAGGTTACTCTTGAACTTAGTTTCAACGTTTAGTAAGTATATTCTTGCGAATGTACAGGCAACATGAGAAGCCCGACATTCGATGTAATCTTTACCTGAGAACCATGCAGCCTCAGCGTCCCTTACAGAAAACCCTCTACCCTAAACCAACGCTGGACCCGAAAACCCTCAAACCCTATACAGACCATAAATCTTGGAGAAACAGGTGCCGCTGCATTGTAACTTACAACCATAAATGCCGATATTCCCCGAACAACACTACAAAACACGAAGAGCCCCATAAACGAGAAGCAAATTCCCCGCGACCGTCCCAGGAGCAGCGGGAGTTGCCGGGGCCGCGAAGCGGCTTCGGAGCCGGGCTCAACCGTCACGAGGACCGGAAGACCGGTTTAGGGGTTTAGGGTTTTAAGGTTTAGGATTTAGGGTTGAAGGTCTAGGGTGGAGGGTTTGGGTGTTTGGAAGACCAGGGGGCTTTATCTGAGAGCGTTGGGGCTCTCGGGTTGAGGCATGTCGTCAGGAGGAGTAAGGAGTTTAGAGTTTGAGATTTAGGCTGCAGGGTTCATAGGGTTCGGGTTTGGGAGGCTGTAGGCTTCATAGGGTTCGGGTTTGCGTGTTATCGGTTTCGGCGGTTCAGGGTCCATCTTGTGCAGGTCCGGGATTGCAGGGTGCTGTTTGCTTATATGATCTATAGGTAGGACTTGAAGAGTTGAGCTTAGGCACGAGTAAGGATTGGGGGTTCAGGTATGGGGTTTGGGTGCAGATGTTGTGTCGATTGGTAGGCTCCGCTCATGGAGTTTGGTGTCGGTTGTTGGTCCTACTCGTAGCTTCTTCTGGTGCCTGTTGACCTGAAACGCGCCGACCTGTTCAGGGAAGGTGGCGGGTCTGTGGCCTAGAGGTTGTACAGCTGTAACATAGGTGCTTCGGGTGACATGAACTTGTGCCTATGTGAGGTTTGTCAAGCCTCGCTCAATGCTCATGCCCCTTTCTGACGTGGAAGTCCCCGGCAGTTGAGATGAGCATGCAGAATCCCGAAATTCGTGCTCTGAAGCCTTCAAGAAACCTTGCAGTCTTATCAAAAATCACAGGCCTGGGCATCGCCCTTGAGCCATAGTAAAGCTGCACCCACACCGGAATTACTCGGTTCTTGTTAGTGGGTTTTATTCAAGCTACCATAATAGGAATCTATAGCAATTAATATGGTTTCCTTATTATGGCAACTTAAACGGAATCCTTTAACAAGAACCCAGATTGCTAGACCCTAAACCCTAAACCCTAAACCTCAAACCCTAAACCCTAAACCCTTAAGAAGAACCCAGTTTACTAAAGCCTTTCAATCCCAGTCAGCCCTCGACCTTAGCCGCAACCGTAGGAGAACCACGACCAGCGCTTCTTCAGCACCACCAGCGAAGAGTTCTACGGCCAGGCTTGCCTAATGTAGGGGCCTAGATATAATGACCTATACTATTTTGGGTGGTTCCTTATGATGATTATATTATAATATACCCCAAAACCCTGTTCTAATTATCAAGGCCCCTATATTACCGCGAGCTGGTGCAGGGAGCCAAAAACCTCAATGCCTCCCAAGCGTCATCCCCGAAGTCCGAGAGCCTCCACTTACTTCGATCTATCCGAGCCACCAGCGGACCAAGGCCAAAGTTCCCTGAACCTGAGACCCGGACTGGGGGATCTCGAAAGCTAGCGCCCGAAGCACTGAACTCCGTAAATCCAACCGCAGGGAAGCTGGAATTGAACTTCCGAGCCCCTGCACCCCAGACCCCCCTTAGAGGCTGGTGCTTCCAGAATGCTTTCGCGGCAGCTGAATAACCTCAACTACGGAAGACTCCTCCAAAGGTGCAATCGTAAGCTGAGGCCCTAGCCACATAGTGACTCCGCACATACGTCATCATGGTTTTGCGAGTCGCGACCCGGATACAAGGACAGGCATGAAGGGACTGCAAAGTAGTTTTTTGCAACCTTCTCAAGGCAGTCCTTATGTTAAATTGCATCTGTATAGGTTTTTCTGCAAGCTGGTGAACTCTTCAAGCTCTGACGTGCTTCTTCTTTGCTTGCCTTCCGACCAGGGCAGCCGCAAGAAGGAGAAGGCACGAAGCCCCAACCCCACCCTCAAGGGATGACGATACTCATTCTTTTCGGAACCCTGAAGTTGTACCTGTGGGTGACGACACACACGTCGGAATTGTATGAAGATGGCCCCTGTTCTGACAACCGTATGTGGTCGGATTCGGAATGAGAACCCCAAAAGGGAATTCACCGTCAGATCAATGGTCCATGTGGGGCTTCCCTGTGCTCAAGAGCTCTGCAATCGGTTGTCTTGGAGAGCACTTGCAAGCTGCTCCATGGCATGCATACTTCATCTTCCCCAAAGCTCAAACGGAAGGGTGCAATTTTCATTTTCTTCGTTAACCCTGAAGCCGAAACTCGGCAAGCCTCACGAAGCACCTGCTTTCGGAGCGGCATCCCTGCGCGATCAGACAGGTGGATGCAGCAGCAGTGGCACATTCTGCGGGGCTGGGAACGGAGCACGAAGAGGCAACGTTTTCTGAAGCATGTTTTCTAGTCTCGAGTCTTTTGCAGATTAAGTAAGGTTTGCTGTGAGGGCTGCGGGGGGGAGGGGGTGGTGGTTTTTGAGGATCCCCGTCTTATGCAGGGGGCTTGTTTGGAAGTGCTAACGGCGCGGCTGATTTGCTTTATACCTGTACGGTGTCCTAAAGAGGACGCAGCTCTTCCCCCAAGCGGTCTTCACTGGGCGACAAACTACTTTTCAGTCTCATTACGGTAGAAACCTAATGGGTTTGTACCGGTGGGTCGGAGTCATAGCCCATGAGTGAGGATCCTCGAGCAGATGGACCCGATCATCGGAACCCGCAGCCCGACACCTCACAGCCACGGCACACTGGATGCCTTTGTTAAGGATCTCATATGACAAAAACCTGTTGTTGTGCCAGGGAGTCTAATGTAAGGTTTGGTGGAGTCTCGGTAAAACGCCTTGCGCTATCCTTTATCCTTTGCAAGCAATGCCCGACTGCGACAGGGCCGAGTGAGAGGCATGAAAGTCGGTGTCCTCTGCGGTGAGGCAGGGAGTAGGAAGCTCTGTGTGTGTGTGTGTGTGCGCGAGTGCCTGATGTGAGGGTTTGGGGTTTGACATATTGTGAGACTTTGGGCTTGCAGGGTCTAGAAGGGTCCTAGTAGTCCGTGAGTCAGTAGAGCTTTTTCCTGAAACGTTCGGGGGATCCTTTCTCATGGTTGCAGGTCGCAAGGCTTGATCCAGTGCCATCGGTTATTGCAGGACATTCGTGCTTTAGTGTTCGGAGCAATGTCGATGCGCTAGGAACTCGAGCAGGCTTGTCGGTTACGGTGTTGCCAAAATACACAAGTTTCCGATGATGCAGAGCAAGATCAAGGCACACAAACACACACACACACACCATATCTTCACCACTTAGGCCTTTAATTCAAAGAATTCACCATTTAGGCCTTGAGTTTAAAGAAGCTCCATGACAGGGACATCCTAAGGTCGTGGAGTTGCGGGTTGGTTCCTCGTGTCGGGGTTTGAGGTTTGAGGCAAGGCCAGCCCGCCCGTTTTAGTATTTTTTCAACAACTCTCGTGTGCATAGACCTCTAGTGAACAAGCCTAAACCCTAAGTCCTCTCTTAAGATGTAGTGCTAGTATTCATTAGTATTATATAGTAATATGTTGTTCGTATTATGATTATGACCTTAGGTTTCTCTCTTTGGGTGTTGGGGTCTTCAGGTCTAGGGCTTAGGGCCCAGGGTCTAGGGAGTCTTGGCCCAGGCTTTGGGGTTTTGCGTGCTCCTGGGCTCTCGGAAAGCCGCGGCACAGGCCTACAACGACGCCAACAATCCAGCCTCCAACACCCGGCCAGGGCCATAGTCAAGGGTTTAGGGGTTTAGGGTTTAGGGGTTTAGGGTTTAGGGGTTTAGGGTTTAGGGTTTCGGGGTTAGGGTTTAGGGTTAGGGTTAGGGTTTACCTATAGTCTCCAT